GTTCAATACTTTTTCCCTGTGTCATTCCACATTGTTAGAAATAACTTCATTTCAGGACATTTATCGTTTGATTTCTTTGTATGTTTGGATCACTTAGCTTGTTACCGACATCTGGTGAAAATTTCCTGTCATTAGCACCTCTAGTAATATATTTACTGAGAAAAATGGTGATGTGTTCAGTACTTATTTTACCCGCTGTATATTTATCTTTAAACAGTCAGAGGGGAAAATAAGTCATATAAGAAGCAGGTTAAATTTCCCCCCATAGTTTTTTGGTTGTTTTCATTAGAAAAGCAGCTCCTGAGCTGCACCTTTCACATTAAAACTGTATATGTTAACAAAATAAAAGTCAGTGTGAATCAAATAATTATTTCAAACAACCTGGCAGGGGAAAAAAAAGGAAAAAAGTTTTGATCTCTGAGTTTGAGAGTAAAAAACAACAACAATGGGAGTCGTTTTAGTCCAAATTACAGTAACTTCTCTGTTTTACTGCCATGTGACAGAGTGGTTCACAGAAAAACAAATGTTAAGACATTTTATCAACAGAAAGCAGAAGAAGGAGAAACAGATCTGATCATGCAAAATYACAAACATTGTCACCATGAGGCATAACTGATGCTTCTAAGATATTAAACTATAAACAGCAGGTTAGCTTTAAATGAGCTGCAGTTTAATTCTTAAAAGGCTAAATAAGCTGTTTCATTCTTACAGGTTATATAATGGTAAATGGCTTGAACTTATATATCGCCTTATCCCAAAGTGCTTTACACTTCAGGCTTTCACACACTGATGGCAGTAAGCTACATTGTAGCCACAGCTGCCCTGGGGCACACTGCCATGCACCGGTGCCACCGGACCCTCTGACCACCATCATAATAATGATGATATTAATATATATAAAATACATTACAGAAAATAGTGTTTCTGCAGCTGACATTTTATAAAATATCCAAGACATCTTAACTCCTGCTCTGTGCAGCAMGTGCTTAATGCAAGATTTTGCAAAAATTAAATCCAACGATATTTTCAATATGTGCAATATGTGTGAGAAAAAACAAAACTGAACTGCTGTCATTTATAAAACAAATATGACAGTCTAAAACCCAGACATGAAAGTTAGTGAGTAAATATAATGTTCAATATAATGTTTTTTAATTTGTTCTGWTTCTCTTACATTAAAGGAGCRGAGTATTATGTATTTTCCAGGAGTGCAGTTCAGTTCGAAACCACAATCAAATACATGTTAACTTCATTTGTTAAGAAAAAGCTATATCAAGAATAAATGTGACTTTGCATCATAATGTCCATCTTACCAAGTTTTAAAACCTTATATCAGCCAAAAAGTCCTTTTGATCTTGTTTTGAGGCTGATTTACTAAACAAGAACTGATTGTGTAAGAATAATAATCTTATTTTCAGAATATGTTAGATTATTTGTCTTGTTAGTCTGAAAATTTGACTCAAATTAAGTCAAAATTTCTGCCAATGGAGTAAGAAAATTTTACTTTGTAAGATTGAAATACTTGATTTGACTCAGTTTTTTCTTATTTCAAGAATCTTACCAAGTAAAATTTTCTTTCTCCATTGGCAGATGTTTTGACTTAATTTGAGTCAAATTTTCAGACTAACAAGACAAATAATCTTACACATCCTGAAAACAAGATTATTATTCTTACACAGTCAGTTCTTGTTTAGTAAATCAGTCTCAAAACAAGATCAAAAAGACTTTTTGGCTGGATATAAGATTTTAAAACTTGGTAAGATGGACAGTTTTTGCAGTGTAAACGTCTTGAAATTAGTCACTCTCAAAAACTTCCTACCGTTTCCAACACTCCCACTTCATCACAGCAATACTTCATGCCGTTTTGAACCAAAAAGAAAAAGATGCAACAATATTGGTTTTGAAGAATGACAACTCAGGGTACGGTTGAACCTTACTCGAATGATCAGACTCAGAAAGTCTGTTTTCTGAAGAACCAGACCGAGTATAGAGGCCCTCACAAGAATATATCTCCCAGTCATCTTCTCATATGTATACGTCACTGACTGTTAAGCTACTTTTTGAGAAGAAACTATAAATATTGATCATTATGAAGCAGTGGCAGAAGCTCGGCTGCAAAATGAGCTCCATGGAGGAGCGTTGTACAAATGGGCGGAGCTTTGTACCAGCCAGTGTTTAGTCAGCTCAACATGGAGCTACAGGAGAGACAAGGATTTCTCAAACATGCATGAATGAGTCAAAGCAACACTCTGGGTGTGTTTATAAAGAAATGACATAACATAAAGCTCAAAAAAGTTGATTTTGCATATTATCTCCACTTGTGGTCAACCACTGAGTGAGGCAACTGTTGAGAGAAAGCTGAAAATAAGGCGTGTTGCTGTGAAAATTTAACATAATGGTTCTTCTTAAAGCTTTTTATTTATTGAAAAGGCTCCATTTTTGGATACATAACAAAACATTTTGCTCACATTAAGTCACATGAACATTGTTAGTGTTGGGGATGAGTCTCAAGTTTTAGATCATTTTCTATTAAACTGGCTGCAATAAAAACATTTGAGCTAGTCGACACGCAGCCAATATTTCTGAAAGTTTCATTTAAATCCATCCAAATATTTGTGAGATATTTTGCTAACACTGCAGGTAAATGAACAATGACACAAGCAATTACATCATAATCCAACTTCAGCAGCATCAGAGCCTTAATGTGAGTTTATGCTTTCAGGACTGATGCAAATGACTTCAGATGATCCCTCCGCGTCACTCTTAAACATATTTTACATTTACATTTTAAATATTATAATTATATTTTACAGGCTTTAGTTTGTTGATACACAACAAGATGTTTCTTACTTGTATAAAACTTAATTAGATACTTAAAATATTCTGTATTTTACAATCAAGTTTAGTTAAAATGTCAATTTTGTTTGTTTTAAGTTGATTTTTGTTAATAAAATACAATATAATTATACAATACAATAAAATACAACATAATTATAAAAGTTTAATATAATTTCATGGTCAAAATGTAACAAAAATAGATTTTAGGTTTGTTCTTTTCACAAATATAAGATGAGTTTAAATAAGATGCAGTGACCACTGAAATTCAAATTTTTAAATGAAGTTATAATCCTTATATAAAATAAAAGAGTTTAAATCATTAATTGCAGTACTTATAAGTGTAAACCACATGTTTAGTGTCATATTTTCCTTAAGCAAATTTTAAAAAATCWTTTTTGTCATGTTTGCAATGTTGTAAGACAGCTAAAAGTAGTAAATCTCAAATGTAAGTTTATAATGAGGAAATGTTTTAYAATTTAGTTTCAACTTGAAGAAATTAATAGTTATTATGGATTAGTGCTGATATTAGAAAACAACACTAGAGTATTAGGGTTTCCTTTTTATAATACTTTTATAATGTTTGATCTATTATGTGTTAATTGAAATAGAGTCATGTCCGAATCATAAAAAACACATAAGTGAACCGTTTTAATAACATTAGGTTGAAGTTTTTGTATGAATGCCTGTGATTCAGCCGTAGGTCAGTAGGGGGCGAACTCAGGCATTGAAGAATCGTGTATAAAAACATGTACTTCCTGATTTTTAGTCAGTGTGGTTTCCTTGTCAACCAGTGACAAATAAACCTCACTCAGGTCCAGAATTCTGGTGTTGTATGAATTTATTCCTTTCACAAATCAGTTTATTTAAAAATTGTGTTTTCATCTCGACTTCAGTCGATATTGAACACGTATTTTCTTACAGATTAATCTGAATATAAATGCTTAAAAACACATAAAGCATTGTCACAGCAGGGCAGCTTTTTGCTGCTCTGAGGCTCAGGATAAAAAGCGCCTCGTTTGGATTTAAAGAGACAGCCTCAAAACGAGTTGATCTGAGAGACATCGCAGAAAAGAGGTGGAGGAGGGGCTTGTGGAGTTACAACAAGGAAGTAGATCAAAGAATTGCCTGGTTTTGTCTCCTTTAAATCCCGAGACCCACATTTTTGTATCGTGTCGCTTAAAGAGCGACTTGAAAACGAATCGTAGCATCTCCGAAGAGCTCGGGTTGTTTTCTGCTTTTTCTCTGTAAATAGAGTCAAGCAGGTGTCATTTGTGTCCATTATGAACCGAAACCACTGTTACCCAGAAGAGACGAAGAGGAGGAGGAGGAGAAAACAGGAAGTGTGTGGGAGAACAGAGATGCCTGTAACCAAGGGGGAGACGATTCGTGTTGCTGTAGTGATTCAAGCGTGCATCCACGTTACTGATTCACACATGCCTCCTCTCACCTCCAGCGATGACGCCGCCAGGCAAGAGTTCCCAAGGTCATAACAGGTCCGGCGTGAAGGGAGGAACACTAATGACATCAGAGGTAATTATGAAGAAGAAACGTCCAGAGCCGATTAAAGTTTGGTGCAAAACAAAGTTAAATTAAACACCAAAATTCCTTGAAGCAACAGTCAGAGTTAATAACTTTAAAATCTCATGATAAAAATCAGATAAAAGGTTTAAATGTGCTTTCTTTAAAGCTGTGAGCAGGTGATCTGTAATGTAACTGTGTTGTGTAAGCTGCAGCCTTTAAATAGCCACATATCCTTCAGCCACCTGTTAGCTAATTACATGTTCGGCTGTTTATAGGAGCTTTACAGCAGCTTGGTGCAGGTTTTAGTTGTGACATCATTTAAAAACAGCCGTATGAAGTCAAACACCAGTTAGGTTTTATGATCGGGGCCTTTAGGAAGAAGAGAAATTAAAGATTAAAGGAGATACCAAGAGTTTGTAATTTCATAAACTTATTGTTTTAATCCACACTTTGTGCTTCTTTTATACATACTAAACGTTCAGCTCATTCAGGAGATGAACGTTTCATTCATACATTTCTAATGATTTACGTTTATACCAAAAAAATAAGTCCTCATAGAGATACCTTGACATCATGCAACTAGCCTATCACTTTAGCATTTATCTCCCATTTTTTTAGTCTGCCTTTTGCTGCATTTATTTAGCTTGTTGGTTATTTTGTGTCAAAGGCAGCAGGGGGATTAAGTGATGTAAGTCAGCGGCTTCTGAAGATGAGGTCTACAGTAACAAGTGGGGTCTTTATAATCTATGTTGTCATTAATCAATAAATTAAAACAGTTGTAAAWTGATGTTTTGTCTGAGTTTACAGGGTTCACATTCATTTAACCCAGCAGCAGATGCAGGTCACAATGATAGTGATTATTTTGATAATTTGAAGTTTAAAAAAAAGGCTAGGAAACAAGATTAAATGTTTATGAGACGATCACAGACCTCTCAGGTCAAGCTGATAACATTCTGCAGGTTTGATCACGAATTTTGTGAAAAATCTGTATTTTGGAGACTCCTTGCCTCCTCATCACGCACACACATACACACACACCTACACACAAAGTGATGTCATGGATCCAACACATGACAACRTTTAGTCACAGATCCAGTCACCCTGGACCTGGAGTTGACAGACCTGATCACGCGCTGCCTGACTCCAGGACCTGTCACCTTTCTACCACCTTTTGTCCGCAGACGCAACTTACTCTCCGTGATCTTCTGCAAGCCCATCACATCCTCCGGACTGATCACCGTCCTCGTTTGCAGCTCCTCCTCCGTGGTGGCCGGGACCCCCAGCACCACCTCGCAGCCTTTCTTCACCTTCATGGTCTGCGTCGGGCTCCCGGTGCTGTCCGTGCCGCTGTCGCTGCTCCCGGCTGGGTCGTTGGCGCTCGGTGACGGGTCCTGGCTGTTGCCTCTGCTGGTACAAGAATAGCTCATTCTCCGCTCCTCCTCCTCCTCCTCCTCCTTTACCCCCCTTTCACCCCGGGCTTCCAAGATGCTAAACCCTCTCCCTCCCTCACAGAAGGATGCAGACCTGCTGCCTGTTTATCCGCTGCTTAAACAAATCCGCTCGGTCCTGATGACCCGGCGGTGTCTTCCTCCGCTCCGGGTTATGTGGACTGACGGCCGGCCGCAGCTCCGTGGAGGACGCGGTGGTGCGCGCGAGTCGCGGCGCCGCTTTCTGCGCAGCGACGCGATGTTTGGGTTGAGAGAAGAGACACCAGACACGTCTGGGGAATAATCTGCTGGGTTTGAACCGGCAGAGAGAGGCGGCAGATGGTTGTGACGGTTGAGGAGGAGGGGGGGAGGGGGGGCTGTGTTTTTGCGCACATGTCTGCGCTGAAACCAACCGGAGCGCACAACAATAAACATGATAAACAACCCTTTGTGTCTGAGCTGAGAGTTACCACGGTGAAGGTTGTGTGATGGAACAACAACAACAACAACAACAACAACAACAACAACAACAACAACAACAACAACAACAACAAC